GTCCTAAACCTGGTGGCTGAATGATTTATTAGCCTTGTTTTTAGTGTTTAGTCTCTTCCCTCATACTTACATTTGCAAATGACTCTGAAGAAATTAGATCTTTTAGGGGCAGCTAGGTGGCGCAGTGGATAGAGCACCAGCCCTGGAGTCAGGAGGACCTGACTTCAAATCCAGCCTCAGACATATAACACTTATTAGCTGTGTGACTCTGGGCAAGTCACTTAGCCCCAGTTGCCTCACCAAAAAAAAAGAAAAAGAAAAGAAAAGAAAAAGAAATTAGATCTTTTAAATTGTGTGTTCCTTTGGAAAAATATAGTTTCTGCAGGGAAAATAATGTGTGCTTGCCAGTCTCTTGGATAAACAGACACCTTTATGGGGTGACCATTAGCAGATTGATAACACACAAGTCAGTATGAGTTTGTAGCCCTTCACCTTCAGGCTACATTAATCAGCCAATGAATAGACAATATTTGGGTTCTTTAAAATTAATGCCCAGAATTTATCAAACACTTAATACTGTTCCTGGTTCCTTTGAGGTATGACTTTTGGGAACTTGTGGCCACTGTTGCAAAAAGCAAGACTCATCCTGTTCTTCATGGAATGTAAATGATCTTGTCTTGCTTTAGTTTGGATCTTGGGAAAACAGGAAGCTTTGACTGAAAAGCTTGGGATCTGATGTGACATGCTGACAGTTTCTTTACTATTGGGGCTTTCCAGGCTTTTCACCCAGCTGAATCCTGGGAGGTGGTGGGTGTGGGGAAGTTGAATATAGGAAAATCGAATTGAGCTTTCAGATCAAGCTAACACTAAGAAACTACTTAACTTCCTCTGTCTTCTGTTTGTACTCTCTGCTCATAGGTGACATTAATGCTGCTAGATCAGAACAACCGGGAACATGTGATTGATGCCTTCAGGCCTGATGTGACATCTTCCTCTTTCCAAAGGCCAGTCAGTGATATGAACATTGCCAGTGGCTGCCCCCTCTTCTGTCCTGTCTCCAAAATGGAGTCAAAGAATTCTTATGTGCGCGATGACGCCATTTTCATCAAAGCCATCGTTGATTTGACGGGTCTCTAATACCACCTTTCCATCAACATATGGGAGCCTAGTGCCAGCCTGGTTTGGAAGTGTCTCAGGCAGGGGTCTAACCTACACACCTATGGGCAGAGCCCCCCCCCCAACACACTCCAAGCTCATAGGGCAGAGGGGTGGGGCCAAGGCAGGCCTGCAGGGAAAGGCCCTGACCTTCAGCTAAGAGTGATATACAGGACCAAGAGGAGAAGGCACTGGCTAGACCTTGGATTATAGAGGCACTTGGTTTAAGACTTGTCAACAGAGATTGGGAGTCAGTGAATGGGCAACCACTTCTAGGAAATAGGCAATTCAACCCAGGACTGGTTTGAAATTTGCTGTGGGTCTGCAAGCTCCTGCCTATAAAAGATACTTGATACAGTATCTGTGTTGTTATAAGGGGGGTGGGGGATAGCAGACTTACTTTAAGGGAGGGGGGGATGGGGAAACATGTTAGTCAAGAAAGAAAGTATTTCTCTCTGGCACTGTGCTTAGAGGGCTCTTCCCAGCAGGGTTGTTATTTTAGACTCTGCAGCCCACAGTAGCACATAGGAGCAGAAAAAGATCCAGGAGAATTGACAAGAGAAGGCTGTCAAGGACCCATTATGGCTCAAAAGGTGCCCCTTTCTGGCACCTGAGATTGTAGGAAATCACTTTGATCATCTAAATCTGATCATGCAGGGACGCAGAGCCACCTTGAGATGGTGCAGAGTGATCCCCAGGAGATAGAATTGGCCCACAGGAGTAACTACTGATTAGCCAGCCAAAGAATTTTCCAACATGGCCTTTCATTAAAGGGAGGTCAGTTCATTCTGTTGATTCCCTGCTTATATCCACTTTGTGTGGCAAAGGCTATCCTGTTGGATGGCCACACAGGGAGGTTGCTGTGATAGGATGTGGTTAATCATGTCCTTCAATCCCTACTAATTTTAAACTAAGTAGTTCATGCATACCACATGGAGGGGAAGGGGGGAAGAATGAGTAGGGATTATCCACCCCCTGGGCCCACACCAATGATTTGTATTATCTGCATTATCAAATGAGAGAAACAATCACTATTAAATCTTTTTTAAAAAAAAATTTTGTGGATACTGACATGTTGACATGCATTCAACTGCATATCTCTCTGAATATTTGAAAACTACTCAATAGTTCTCTAGAAACCATCATTTACTTGGGATTTTTCAGTATCATCTCCCCCCATCCCCTACCCCTCACCCTCCTTGTTCTGCAGTTACTGCCTAGAAGATAGATGTTAGTCATTTGGTTACTTCCCTAGTGACCTTTATGTGGGGAACCTGAGCATAAGAAAAGAAGTCACTTGTTGTCAGGAAGCAGGCCAGATGAATAGTGATTGAGGGAGGGGCAGTTGTGTGCTTGTTGGCACAGAAGTGAAATAATCCAGATGTGGAAAGAGCAGACTTGGGTTGAGAAAGACATACATATATTTGGATGCTTTCTGCTCTTTCAGATGCTTTATCTGATCTGAATCAGGACAAGAATTTGGAAAGTTGGGTCATCCCTGGCTGCTTCTGAGTAATAGTAGGGCCCAAGTCCTATGGTTTGATGGGGAGAGAGGAGAGTCTTCTGCTCTCCACCCTCTAGAACATGGCTCAGACCGTTCTGGTGAGAGCCATCTTCCCTACATATTTGTGTAATAAGGGATGGATAATAGCAACCAAAGATTTTAGAGAAACGGTTATGGTACAAATTATTCCCCGACCCCTAACCTCCAATTACCATTCTGTGATCCAGGTTCCATCCCCAGATTGGAAAGTTATAAAGCATCAGCTAAATTTCAGAAATTGAGAAGCCACCAGTGGACAAATAATTGAGACAAAATTTCCAAGCTATCTCACCTGTCCATGGAGGGCAAGTTTCACATAATATTCAAGTCATATCCCAGGAACTTTCATATGACTGTGTCATGAAACTGCCTGAACTGTAAGCACTTAATTGTTTTTTGAAGGCAGACTTAGCTCTGCCTTTGACATCTTTTGAGAAGTCTGGAGTTTCCCGAAGCCCTAAGTCCTTATCTCTTTTGGAGGAGAGGGCTAGAAAACCCATAGACACATAATCTGTGGCCTGGGAACCAGAATGAATGTTGGCCAGTTCTCCTTACCCCTTGACTTCCTAAAGGAGGAAGGAAGAGGTATTTCCTCAGATTCCTGTGTTATTACATAACAGGCTAATGAACCTCTTCAAGTTTATCATTTGTCTTTTGAGTTAGCTCATAGGAAGTGGTTAGAATCCCCCTTTTACCACCATTACTTAATTGACTGCATCAGACGCACGTGTCGAAAGTCAACAGATTTGATCCTTAATTTTTTTTTTTTTAGGCAGTTGGGGTTAAGTGATTTGCCCGGAGTCACACAGCTAGTAAGTGTCTAGTGTTTGGTCTGAGGCTGGATTTGAACTCAGGTCCTCTTGACTTCAGGGCCAGGTGCTCTATCCACTGCACCACTTAGCTGCCCCTGATCCTTAATTTTTAAAAAAATGTATCAGTGGCTGTTTATATCACTGTCAGTTCCTGAATGACTTCCTCACCAGTAGAATTTCACTCTTTTAACATGTAGTCAAGCAAAACACAAACACATTGGCTGTGTCTGAAAATGTAGGGCTAATTTTGCACCAATATTCTCCCATTGTGAGCAGGGTGGCATGCTGCACTGTGGGTCCTCTGAAGTTTGAAGATTCTTTTAACCTTTCCCTGCACTCCACTGACTACTGTACTGGCCTGATGCCTGACAGTAAGCTTAATAAATTCTTGTTGCTTGAGAAAGTGGTTACTGACAACTCCTATGAAGTCTGTCCTTCACCCCCATTCCCTTACTGAGGTAATAATCTGACTAATGCAAATCAATTTCATTACTATTCTCAGGGTTCAATGGGTAAAAATGCTTTAGAACCCAATTATTCACATAAATCAGTTCTGTTTGATTGTGCATATGGAGATAACCTACATGGATGTGGAACAGAGAAAAGCAGTTTCCTTATTAGCTTTAATAGTTTTTACTAATTTATAAAAAATATCCTTTGTAGTGAAGAATGCCTTATATTCTCTTTGCATAGTGTATTGATGGGAATAGAATTCGTCTTCTCCCTCAGTTCCTAGGACTTGCAGTGCTCCTTGATATTCAACTTAAAATACATGGACTGTTTCTTAACTGTGTTCTAGAAAGTATGTTGAGAAGCTATATAGTATGTCCAGAAAGGTGACCAGAATCATATGGGGTTGTTTTAACTTTGAGAAAAATCTTAGGGGGATCATGATAATCTTCAGATATTTGAATAGTTGCCCCAACAGGAACTAATTTAATTGCAGAGAAGTAGAATATAGCTCAACTTAAGAAAATGCATCCTAAGTTAGAGCTGTCCTGAGGTTCTGTTCCTAAAAGGGTCAGTGAGGAGTCAGTGGGCTCTTTAAAGCAGATGGGAGTCATTAGACTTGAGATAGAAGGGGCCTTAAAGGCCAGTCATCTAGTCCAATCCCTTACTCAAATCATGAATCTGAAGAACAAGATTTTGACCAGATGACTCTGAGATTACTTCCAAATCTTAGGTCTCACGAATCTTAACACTTCCTTGATATGTTTGGCAACACTTAGCAAATGAGATGAGCAATTTTAGGCTGGCATTTGCACTTCACAATTCTGACAAGAAGTTGTGAGAGTTATACTGAATGAACTATTTATTCACCTCAGTGCTGGCTAGTCATTAGGGATGAAGTTTGTGGCCTTTCCTACTGCATGAAATTTCAGGCCATATGGACATCAAACCTAAGATCATGGATTTACCATAGAATTTCAACTGCCAATGCTGAGATGGCAAGAATGCTGCCTTTATAGTGCTTTTTAATAGTGTATACTTTAAGCAGAGGACCTATCTTGAGTATTTATTTATAGTATAACACACACACACACAAAAGATGAGATATTCAATGAGTGTTTATTCACGGCTGGAGTGAGGTGCACTGGAAAGGCAGACATGCATTTTGACCCCAGGACCCCACAAGAACCTATACCAACAGTTTCACCATGGTAAATCCAGCAACCCCTCCCTGTAGCTTCCCAGACAGGCCTCTGACCAAGTTACAAGGAAAGGAGCTACTGATGCTGGTGTTCAAAATAAGTTATTTAGGAAAAGAATGGGGCAAAGCAGAGTATGGAGCCACCTCCATCCCTGAACCCTATAGTGAGGGTACCATTCTTAAATAGGTTGACTCTATCAGCTGACCAACTGTTTGTAATCCGTAGCTAGGCCAAGGCAACAGAAGAGCTTTAAGTCCAAACTGGGTTCAACCAAAGCCAAGAAGCTCTTTCTAACCAAAGCAAATCTCAAAGACCAAATGAACTCATTTGGGCTAGATTGGAGAAACATTTATCTTTAGTGGGTCAATGGCATGTGTAAAATAAACTGCAGTGCTACAAAAAAAAAAAAACACCACACGTGTGAAGTGAAAACCTCTGAGGAGAGCGTCCTTGATCAGAATGGTTGTCCCTAGCTTCCAGGTGGGTAGAAAGTTCCTGGTAAGCCTATACAACTAAGCTTTCTTATACAAACCTCAAAAACTGAGAATCCTAGCTTTGAAATAGAACACAATGAAACCTAAGTAAGAGGAAAGTTCAAATAACCTATTTTGTAAAATTATTTCTAATCATAAATTCTACTCAGTTGTCCCTGTGCTAGAATTGAAGGAGTGGGGGGTAGGGGGTGGAGGTGAAGCAATCTGTGTCTGAACTCTTTCTCCTATAATTCTGCCAGCACTGCTGTCAAACACAGACTTTGCCCTGCAAACAAACAGTTCATGTTAATGGCTAGACCTCATCTTGTGGCAGAACTAGAAGCCCAAGAATGGGAAAGGATTCTCCAGCTCAGTACCAACTTGCCATCAACAAAATAGGGTCCTGAGCAAAGTGTGTGACAGGCACTGTCACTTGGCAGGCTCTCCAAAGTCTGTCCCTGGACTAGGCTTTGAAGGAGAGAAAGATGGGAGTCATCACTTGGTGGAGGACTGGGTCCTATTTGTCAGACCAGGCACACCAGTCTTGACTGCTGCTTCTCTCTGGTTTGTTGATGGCTTGGGCACTTAGAACAATCTCCTGTAAACCAAGGTGTCTGCCCCTCACAAGAACCTGGGAGTTCAAGATAGCAAGATTGGGTTCTTCAGCTCTTTTGGCTGCCCAGCCAGGAGAAGAAGAGTGGACGGGGCCGTGGACGACAGGCTTGGTGGATGCGCACAGTGCGGGGAGACCGCCATACTTTAATGGTATTATCATCACTAGCACTCAGCAACAGCTCCTGTTCTAGTGGGCTGAAGGCCACAGAGTTGACCACATCTTCATGTCGTAGTTTGGCCAAGCAGATGTTGTAGTGTCGGTCCCAAACATAGCCATGGCGATCTTCTGCACCACTGTTGGGCACATGTGAGACACGATGAGTCAGAGCTAATTGGAGTTCCACCCCAAATCCTTCACCTCACCCCTCCACCACAGGGTAGATACTACAGGTAGGATCCTAGTCTGTGACAAAGGCCAAGATCCTTGTAGTAGGAGCCCAAAGTAGTTATGTTCTAGACTGCCAAGGTCCCTCTACTCTATTCTACAACCAATCTTTAAAGGGAGATATCAGGAAGAATAGGTTACAATGACAGGACTCTGTCCTGTCTTATCTTGTCCTACTGCAAACTTTGTTTATTGGCTTCTATTATATTTTATCCTCAGCATCTCCTGTCATCTCGAGTACTATTCATATGGTCTTGTGTAAATGAGTAGAAATCACCTCAACCCAGATTTCCCAAGTGATTTCCCCACTTGGGGATAGGGGTATAATCTTCCTTCTTCCCCTACCCCACTCCCCAAAAAGGAAACTGTCAATTCCAGTTGGGATGGGAGCTTAAATGTATGGATTTGGGCTTCCTGGGGGATGGTACCTGGCAACAAAATCCCTGCTGACATCAAGGAAAATGAAGAAGCACTCATCGTTGGGGGTATAGGCACGGTGGGCTCTGAGGGCCCTCTTCACTTCCTTCATAGTCTTAAGGTCAAATACATGTAAGTCAATCTCCTCAGCAATAGGTGGCGGTTGCATGGGGTCTGACACCACTGAGCCACTGGGCCACGAGCGGCTATTGACATACAGGTACCTGGGAAGGGGAAATGAGGAGTTTGGATCCCAAAAGAGGAACCATTGATTCCCCCATGCTGGCAACCCCTGCCTGAGTCAATGACCAATTCTTGCCCCAAGGAGCCTGCCATGGTTGGCAACTTGCTCCTCAACCCCACCTGTGGTCAGGTGACAGGCCCATCCCAATGATGTGTCCATGGATGTCAATCACATGATCCAATGAGTCAAAGAACTCATCGGAACGCCGCTCCTCTCCCAGCACTGGCCCTGCTGTTGTCATCTGGTGAGGCAGGATCTGCTTAATCCCTGATAGGGAAGAGGAAAGATTTAAGGTGAAGGGATAGAAGAAGACAGGCGATTAGCAAAACGGCCTGGATAAGTCTAAAGTCCTTTCCGTTTCTACTCTGCCCTAAATGCTGCTACTTCTGTCCCCCCACTGAAAGCATTACTTAAGGTAGCTGAAGACACTAAGACAGAATGACAAAGCCCAAGAGTACAAAGGCAACAGGAAAAATGAGTAAAGATAATAATGGCATCAATAACGCTACTTAACATTGCTCTGGGGCTTCTAACTTTTTTCCAAAGGGTTATCTAACTTAGGTTCTTTTATTTCCTCCTTACAGCGTCTCAAGAAGGACATGTATCATCTCTATTTTACAAGTGTGGAAACTGAGGAAGGGTAAAGTATTAAGTTGTTGTTCAGCCATTTTTCAGTCATATCCAACACTTCATGAACCCATTTGGGGTTTCCTTGTCAAAGATACTGGAGTGGTTTGCCATTTCCTTCTCAAGTTCATTTTACAGATAAGGAACTGAGGCATGAGGAGCTAAGACAAAGTGATTTGCTTATGGTCACACTGCTACTATCTGAGGCCAAATTTGAACTCAAGAAGATAAGTCTTCCCGAATCCAGGCCTGTTACTCTATCTACTTTACCACTTAGCTGCCCTTTTGTTTTAAGTTACTCAGAAAGTAAAGGGAAGAACTAGCACCAGAATCTAAGGGACTGAATTTTCTCTTAGTTGAGAATAGGCCACAGATAACTGGGTATGAGTACCTTCTGAAACAGTGCTGGGCCACAGAAATAAAAGCATTAGGTCTGTCAGTTTATAGTGCTACAAGAATTTCTGTCATATCTCTACCTTCTTCAAATGTAAGAGCCAACCATTCAGGTAGGAATTGCTACTTCTAAAGCCATGGCTGTAAGCCCCATAGTTACCCACCTGGAAATGTCTACTTAAAAGCCTCCACAATATTGCCACCTTGTGGTTTGGTTCGCAGCAGCACTACCAGGCATTGCGCAGAGCTGGGGACCCATTCCTGGTTTTTCTTCACTCAACCTGATTTCTGCCTCAGCCACTCCATCTGATAATTCTATTTATCCCCAGTTAGTTCTTCCTGTTCTTGAACACCTAGATAACCTCTTCATCCTCAGGGGCCTCCTCAGATCTCATCTCCCACTTCCCTTCAAAAAACATTCCAATTCACTGCCTGTGTGGGATGCTGCTTCTCCTGACCCTCCCTTGGGCACCATGAGCTGGTCACCAGGCTATCTGAGCTTGTCTTGTTACCTATCTGGTGTGGGGAATAGGTGAGGCAGCCAGTGGTGAAGATCAAATATTTCTTCTTGTCATTGCTCTCTCTGCTGGCTTCTGGGGCTTTGGTCCGGCTCTGGGCCAGAAACTCTGCAACTTTGCTCTCCAGCTCCTGCTCTGACAAGACGGGTCGTGCCCTCCCCTCCATAATATCATCTAGGAAGCGCCGCAGCCCTTCCTTGGGGCCCCTTGGGAGCTGGGTCTCTGGTGGGAGCAGGACCCAGCTTTCATCTTCCTCATTATCACTGCCCAGGTCAAAAACCCGACAAGGGGATGTGTCAACAGAAGCTGGCTGGGGTCCAGCATCCAGCAGGAGGTCAGGGCTGTCATAGCGACTGCAGTCGGCCACCATCACAGTGCGGATTGTGCTGGCATTAAGGTTCTGGATTTTGAAGAGCCGCTTCACCACATTAACATTCTCTGATTCAACATCCTGAAGAAAAGGACAAACTAAGAGTAAGAAGCATTCTAGCTGCCACGATGAAGCCTGTATTTGTTTAGAATGGGTTGCTTTTCCAGGACACCTACAGAACTCTGAGACAGAGATTGCTGTTCTCATAGATGGGAAGACTAAGTGAGACCTAGAGAGGTTGAACAGCCCAAAGCATCACAGAAAATCAAGCACAGAATTAGAATAATAAGTATATGTAGCCCAGGGCTCCTGACTTCCCACTCAAGGCCCTTCTCCTAAGACCTTCCTGCACATTTGATGTCATGTAAGAGCCCTGGCCATAAAAAAACCCAAGGGCCTCTATTCCCCCTCTTAGTGTTACAGTCCTCCAGGGATCCCAGACAGTGTCTTCCCAACCTGAAAGGCATTGTTGAGCCAGAGCACAGAGCAGGATGTGATGTCTCCAATCCGGTGTAGATTGCCAGAGATCAGGTTGGTTTCATTGAGCCAGCATCCAAACACATCATATGGCTTGTTTCGCACTCGTGAGAGAAGAGCAAAGTTGTCTGTTGAGCAGAGAGGAAAGAAAAGGAGGGGGATGGTGGTAAAAAGGAGGGCAGCAGGGGAGTCTCTCCCCCTACTTTCAGAGGGGAGGAGGCTTTCCCTGAGGAGCCCCCAGTAAAATATGGCTAGGCTTCTGATACCTCACCTGGCAAAGGGAACCGGGGGCAGTTGTGGGGGAAGGTGCACAGATAGGGGATGGCAGTATACTCTTACCCAAGCTGATGACAGCAATCTCTCCTGATGAAGAGTTGTGGGGCCCCAGGAAGACTCCTGACACCAGGAGCAGTGTGTCATCCTGGTTAAACTGGGAAAACTGGGTGTAGCTCCAGTTGTAAGGTCTCATGTTGGAGCTATGCAGGAGTGAGATGGCCAGGTCATTGTTCCAGATCTGAGAATAGAGAAGGAAGGGGAAATGTGTTTCAAAGGATTGTATACCCACTAATAATAACATCTATTTACCATGTCAGACAAATCTTGTAAGCCAGTAGTAATGGATACAGGAGAAAGAGTCAGAGCTATGTGTACCTACCAAGGCAAGATTCCCACTCCAGCTTGGGTCACTACAATCTGATCCCCACAAATCAATGTAATTGTTCCATACTCAATGTTAACCCAAGGAATGCATCCCAACGACCTAAGTGGTAAGCCCTGATAGCGCAGCTGTGTGTGGAATGGTTCCCATTTCCTCTGGTTGCAAAAGGCCCAGAGAAAACCATCCTGGGAGTTGGTGGGCTATTTCTCCCAAAGCCCAGCTTGGCTCAAGCTGGTAGAGGTGACGCCAAGAGTAAAAGGGGCTTCATACCTTGAGCTCCAGCTAGGAGAACAGACCTGTAAGTGGTGACTAAAAGAGATTTCCCACCAAGAGAACTATAAGAAAGCCTAAAACTGGGAATACTCACCAATCTCCCCAAAGTAGCCTCCCTTTAAGTAATATGAAGATGTGGCTCAAGATCCCTAGTGCTAGAAGGTGATCTCACACCCAAAGGAGTGTAACTAGCTAGGCTTCAACGTGGCCACAATTCGAACCTCTCCCCTCTTTTCTCTTGGGATCAGACACAAGGACTTAAAATGCCGAATGCTTAGAATAATCAGCCAGGTTAAAAGTATAAACTGAAATCTTCACATTCTTTCCATTGTTATTATTTTGTTTTTTAAAATCAATGCAGTTCTCCTTGTAATTAGATACAGAACTCACCTATAACCTTCCAAAATCTCCATTTGTACCTAGGTCTGTGTTTGATTCAAGAATCTGGAGGTCAGGAGCCAGACTCCTCTCAGACTAGATCCTCAGACTAGATCCTATTTCTACCGGACAACTGAATTAAGACATGGGCCCATTTTGGCAAAGGACTTTGGCTAGGGCTCCCTGGAGAGGGTGTGTGGCCCTAAGGGATACAAGAGCCATTGACTCTGTCCCTCACTAAGTCTGCATCCTCTCTCTGCCTATTCTCTAACACTTCCCTGAAGGCAGATTAGCTATAACCTCAGGATGAACTGACCCAGAAGGCTGAGACCTGGGTAGAAATGTAGTGACGACACGTTGGCCAGTCACCATGATTATTTTTGGACACAAAGAAATGTCGACCATGCTAGATCACTATCCCAGTGCTCCCAAGAAGAAGCTGGCATCTTGGTTCAACAGGAACAATAGTCCAAGGCAACTACAGTAACACTCTCGAGGCTCTCAGCCTTACCTTTACAGTACAGTCCTTGGAACACGATGCAAACAGGTATCCTGTGTGTGAAAAGCTGAGGTGGAGGACCTGATCAGTGTGTTCTCTCAGGGTCTGTACTTCTACACAGGGGATGGTGTCATAGAGCCTCTGAAACTCCTCATACCAGGAGACAGCAGCTGTACCACACAAAGCCAAAAGATGGTGTCATTTGGGGCAACAGGGAAGAGAAGAGAAAAGTACAAATGATTTCTAAGGAGCAAACTTGTGTATTATAGCATGACCTACCAAGAGCACAGCCCCTTGCCTGTGCTGGCCTGAGTAGGGTAAAAGGAAGATGTATGCTCAATTATTCTTACAGGCAGGAACCCAATCTCCCCCAAATCTGCATAGAAACTACCAAATACAAAGTTCCATGAATGCAGAGACCCTGTCTTATCCAAATATTATATCTCCCCAAGACCCTAATAATACACTGCTTTGTACATAGAAGGCTTCAGAGAACCTGTGAGATCTTAGGCAACTCAATTTGCTCTTCTATAAAATTAGAGAATTAGACTAGCTGATCTCTGTCTCTTCTAGCTTTAAATCTATGGCCCTGGGTAATGTTATTCTACTGTGATCAGGAACCAGTCATCAAGCCATCAGCAAGTTGTGACACAAGCTTCTTATGTCTCAAGCCTAGGGGTTGAGTGGAGACTTTAAAAAAAAAACCCTCTCCTTCCCCCAGGGAAGATGGTGCCCAACCTCAACCTTAACATCTATTCACTGACCTGGATGACGAGGGACATCTCGGGCCACCTGGTAGTATCGGTAAAACAGCTCCTTCCACAGGAACTCATCTCGAGATACTGCCTGCCACTGGCGGCACACCAACCCTGCAGTTAGCACATCTTCATGGCTCAGGCTCAAGAAGATCTGGTAAATAATACTGTCTGGAAGGAAGGGGTTGCCCCCATCATCCATCGTGTCATTCTGTCCCCAAGGAATCTGAAATCACATGCACCTGAGTCAGACAGAATAACAAGAATGGGGGGACAAGGCAGTGGTATAATAAAAACAAGTATAAAACTGACATTTATATATTTCATTTGATCTTTACAACAATTTGAAGTAGGTACTATAGATCTCATCCCTCTTTTGTAGATCAGTCAATAAACTTTTATTAAGCACCTACTATGTGCTAGGCACTGGGGATACAAAGCAGGCAAAAGACAGTCCCTGCCTTCAAGGAGCTCACAATCTAACGATGAAGGAAATTTAAAGCCCAAAAGACGTGACTATGGTCATAGAATTAATAAGATTGAGAATAATTTTGATTTAGGTCTTCCTGACCCCAAGTCTAAGCCTGGTTGTTTGGCCTGGTGAGGACTAGGGAGCTAAGGAGAAATGGATAAGCAAAGCAGAACCAGGAACATAGAGTCTGGGGCTCTGAGACTCAAATAGCCACACTGTTTCCCACAGTAATCAAATGACGGTTCATGAAATACTTGCTATCTGCCAAGCACTGAGTCAGGGGATAAAGATACAAAGATAAAAGCTAAACAGTTCCTACCTTCAAGAAGTTTATGAACTAAGCAGGAGACAGAGATACTACTACTAAAACTAAGCTAGTAAAGCTTAAAACTGCACAAAGACTCTTGGGACATTATCTATCTACCCTGATATACAAAAAGTAGAAGATAATTTTTTTTTTGCGGGGTAGACATGGAGGAAATAGGAAAGTATACATACATGTGTTTGTGTATATGTACATGTATATACATATATATTAGAAAGAAAATAATGGGGAGGGGAGTGAATACTAGTGCTGGGGGAAATAGGAAAGTCTTTAAGTAAAAGTTGGCACACTAGTGGAACTTTGAAATAAACTAGGGATTCTAAACACTGAGGCCCCAGAAACTATAGAAGACTTTCTTGTAATTATACCAGTAAACATGCACTGAATATTTGCTGAATAAATGCTAAAGTCCAAACAACAATAACTACACTTCGATAACCATTAGCCCTGGGAATTCTCACCCATGAGTGAGCTGAGGACTTCTCTACAATTTTCCAAGGATGTACCAATAATCTAGGGATAAGGCAAAAAGGCCACCTCAGGCCTATTACAACCTGCCTTCTTCCAGGTTAACAATCTCTGCAACATTAGCTTCCTATGGATTTGGCCTTGAAATTGTTGAGGAGCTGGATCTGAAAGACTCAAGGGTTTTTGAGTACAAGACAAAGGGTATCAAGGCCCTGGACTTATCTACTCCCTTTGAGAGTTACTACAGCCTGGGACCACTCCATTTAGAGTTGTCACCTAATGACCCTTCCCCACAGGGGAAAAGCAAGTCACCTCCACCACAGAGGCTCAAGGAAAAACAAAGTACTGAAAAAGTTAGGCAGGTCAAAACCAGGCTATCCTGCCCAATGGAAGGCCAAAGAAGGGAGCTGATCACTGACTTCGGAAACCTAAATCGAAGTCAAGACTTTATATGTGTGAGGAATCCTCCAGGTGACAGATCAAAATTTACAACTCCCTGGTTAGGAAATAGAAGTGCTAGCAGCAGTGGGATGAAAAGGCAATGGAAAACTGGAAATCAAGGTGCAAGGAAAATACAGAGCTTGCATATGCCCAGGGATTGAAACAGATGCTTATTGTACAGAACATAAGGCTCAGATATTTCTAGATTATAGTAATGAAACTGGGATTATTGGCAGGATTTTCTTAACCTGAGTAGTTTTAATCTAAGTCCCTGGAAATTAAGAGCCTCTAGTCTGGGGGATCCCTCATACCTTGTTATCACAGAAATGCAAAACACACTTTCCTAAGCGTAAGGTATAGTTTAACAGAACTGGTTGGTAATGATGCTTGCTGGCCATGGCATTTCCCAGTCAGACCCAGCCCCAAGTCTTGGGGTTCACTCAGGCAGGCTCCCCCAGGGAAGCTTTGAAGCTAAAACCCCAAGCTTCCCAAAAGTGGCTGCTCTGGCAGAATTTCTCTTTCCACTAGTGGCTGGTTCCCATTCTTTAAATGGTCCCTTAAGGAAGGAGCTTCATGCTCCTCAAAGCAATTTCCTAGGGGGCCGAATCTCTTCCACTGTCCTGAAGGTCCACACATCAGTGCTACAGCACACCTCAAGGCAACAGCAGGGGTTTTAAATCCTGAGGACACAGGGAGAGAAGGGAGGGCTGATGACATAGGAATCAGAGATCTAGAGCTGGAAGAGACACTGCCCTGGAGGCCATCTGATCTGCACTCCCCTCCTTACTTTACAAACAAGGAAACTGAGGCTAAAGAGATGGAATGACTTGCCCAAAGTCACAAAGGTGATGTTGACTGATGTAAGGGCAGGATCTGAATGCAAGAGCCTGGCTCCAGAGCCTTTTCGCTGTACCAAGGTCCACCTGTAGGTTTCCAAAACCCTTGTCAGGGTGGCTGGGGGAATGAAGCAGGGTGGGGCTGGCACAGAAACGGAGTGGAGAAGGGGCTGTCAGAGATGGATGGGAAAAAAGTTTGAGAATGTGCTGTTGGGGAGGGGGTCCTTGGGTGAGTCATTTGGGGGGGGATGGGATCCCTTGGGACATTCTCTGTTGGGGAAGTTGCTTTTAGGAAAGACAGCCTTTAAGAGATTCACAGTTGAGGAGAGGGTGTCGCTACTGGGGACAGGACCCCAAAGGGGTCACTGTTAGGGAAGGGGAGGTCCCTGGTAGGGTGGGGACCCTGGAGAATCACTGTTGAGGAGGGATCTCTTAAAGGAGGGTTCTTATCTGATGAGGAAGCCTTGGAGGAGTCACTGTTGAGGAGTCCCTGTTGGGGGGGTACTTTGAGGATGAGCACTCTGTTGTTAGGGAAGTGGGAGGGGGTCGCTGTTGGAAAGCGTCCTTTGACGGGGAAGGGTCTGTTGAGGAAGGCTACTTTGGAGGGATCCCTCCTAGGTCCTTTAGTGGTAAGGTGCCTGTTGGGGAGGGGTCCCTACTGAGGGTCCTTTGGGGGCGAGGTGTGCTAGGGAGGTGGGGTGAATCCCTGCTTGAGGTCTCTGGGGAGTGAAGTGGGCTTTGTTTGGGGGGGGGCTTTGAGGGTAAGGTATGTCAGGGAGGTGGAGTCCCTCTGGGGGTGAGGTGTGTCAGGAGTTGGGGGGGGCGTCTCTTGGGTAGGAGGGTCCTACGGGGAGGAAGCCTGCCTCGGAGGGGCGCTGTCGGGGAGCGCTCACAGTGCGGGGGGGGGCCCCCGCTGGCGGGGCGGGGCCGCAGGACGTGCTCCCCCACTCACCCCGCGGGAGCCGCCTCACGGAGCCGGAACCGAAGCCGGAGCCGGGTCGAGGAGGGGGCGGGGCTCGAGGGGCGAGGCGAGAGAAGCCCCGGGCCGGGCCGCTCTGCCCCCGACCCCACTTCCGCTCGCGCGCCGAGTCGCCGCTGCCGTCGCTCTCTCCGCGTCTCTATGATGTGGGTCCTCCCCAGGCCTGAAACCTCGAACCCAGAGACACCGATGACGGCTCCTCCCAGTCGTTCCACCCCGCCTCCGCCCCATCCCTGGCTCGAGCCGTTCTGGTTCTCGGGCTAGGCACTCTCCTCTTCTGCGCCTGCGTTGGAACGAACGCTTTCCCAAACCGTGATTACTATTAGCCACCAGGGGGCAGCAAGGCCACATTCCCTCGCCGTAGATGGCCTGAATCTTAGCAATAAACCTGCCAGGGACCTTCAAAGCCAACCCATTAGTCCAACCCATTCATTGTACTGATCAGAAACCCAGAAGGGCTGGGTGATCTGCCGAGGTAACACAGCTAATAATAATAGCTAGCCCTTACAAAAGCTTTAAGGTTTGTAATACACTTTAGATATTCTTTCATTTTATCTCTGCCACCACCCTGGGAGGCAGTTGCTATTGTTATCCCCATTTTACAGATGACCAAACTAAGATAAACAGAGGCTAAGTGAATAACTCCAGGTCACAGAGTTAGTAAGTGTCTGGGGCTGGATTTGAACTTGGGTCCACTGTTCTATCTGCTGTACCACCTAGCTGCCCAGTAAGGTTAGAGGCAAGATAAAGACAGGTCTTCCCTATTTCAAGGTCATTCTTTTATCCATGTTATCTGCCAGACAGATAGCCCCTTACTCAGATAAGAGTATGGAAAGCGGGATTTGAACCAAGGACCCCCCGACTCTAAATCCCCAGCTCTTTTCATGTTCCTGTGTTTCAACCAATCCCTACATTAGAAGGCTTCAAGTAAAGGCTGGGTGACTACTTGCCAGGGCTGTTCACCAACAGATAGGACCTGATGACCTCTCAGCTCCCTTCCAATTTGGAGATTCAGTGATCCTGGGGGACAATTTATAACATTCCCCTGGACTGACCATCCACAGAGGGAGGGACCCAAATCCTCTACCTGAGTTCCACACAGACACAGCTAACACTTGAGCAGAAGGGAGGGTTTCAGAACCCACTGCAGGTAGTCCAGGATGACTGGATCAGAGCCAGGACACAGAAACTGGAGCTGAAGCAGGAAAGGACTTTAGGAATTATCTAATCCAACCCCCTCGTTTTACAGATGAGCAAACTGACACCCAGACAAGTTAATGGACCAGATCTCACAAATCTGAATTCAGCGTTCTTTCCACTGTATCATGTTTTCTCTCTGACCTTTTGGAAGTCTCTGTTCATTCATTCATTCATTCATTCATTCATTCATTCATTCATTCATTCATTCATTCATTCTGTTCAGACTGTTCTTTCTGCTTGAAATGTCCCCTATTTCCCATCTTTGCTTGTTGAATTCCTCCCCATTTCTTTAGAGGACATTTCTTCAGACGAGTTATATTACAGCGTACATACATGATCAATTCTTTAGCAATTCAAAGAAATATACACATTGTTGCTTGTACGTATTTGAAGACTTAGAATTACTTTTCTTAATATTTGAATAATAGAAAATTTTATTGAATCAAAGAATAGGCATTGCAGACTAGTCTTGGTGCAAGTTGATTCTTTAAAGTTTTAAGATACAGAAATATAATGCCTTTGAAAATGGAAGTAACATGTATTTAGTTAACTAGTAAATGTGATAGATCTTGTTTATGTATATATGACATATCTGGTGTAATTTTAATGAACTTGATAATATTTTAAATTATAGAACACAGCATATTAATAGCTAAACACTACACTGAATCACAAAAAAATTTCTGGTTATTAGTGTCACTGGGCTATTAATTTAGATTGCTGATAGGTGCTTGAGATATAAGGATATAGTGTAGCCAGGGATGTGAACCTTAAAATTTAAGTCTTGATTCTGTGATTTATAATAAACTACACTGTACAATTAAAAAAATTATTTTTTGTCTGTCTTTAGAAGTCCAACACAAATGTTACTTTAAGCATGAAACCCTCCCTGGTCAGTAATGACCTTCCTCTCACCTTAGACCCCTACATAACATTTTGTCTTCTCTCTCATGCACTAATCATAAAACATTTTATATCATATAATTCATTTGTTTATACGTCTTCTCCAAGTGAACTATAAGATCCACGAGTTTTCTTTCTTTTTTAAAAAAATAGTATTTTTATTTTTTCCAATTACATGTAAACACAAATTTTAACATTCATTAAAAAAAAATTTTTGAGTTCCAAATTTCCTTCCTCCCCCTCCCTAAGATGATAAGCAATATGTGCAATTAAGTAAAACATTTCCATATTAGTCATGTTGTAAAAGAAGAAACAAACCAAAAAGAAAAAAAATCATGAAAAAAATAAAGTGAAAATAGTATACTTTGATCTGCATTCAGATTTCATCAGTTCTTTCTCTGGATGTGGATAACATTTTCCTTTGGAATTGTCTTGGATCACTGTATTGCTGAGGATAGCTAAGTCATTCATAGTTGTTCATCGCAGAATGTTGCTGTTACTGTGTACAATGTTCTCCTGATTCTGCTCACTTCATTTTGCGTCGGTTCATATAAGTCTTTCCATGTTTTTCGGAAATCCACCTGCTCATCATTTCTCATAGCATAATAGTATTCCATTGCATTCATATACCACAACTTATTCAGCCATTCCCCAATTGTTGGGCACCCCTTCAATTTCCAATTCTTTGCCAAGGTCCATGACTTTTCTAAACATTCTTTCTCCCTCAGCGCTAAGCACAGGGCTTAACAGTAGATGGTTAATAAATCTTTGTCAAACGGATGAATTCAGCCACTAATGTAAGGCAGCCTCCGTCAAAGTGCTCCTCTGATACCTTCTTGAGAGATTATAAATTCCTTGAAGATAATGTCTTTCATATCTACCTTAGTTTCCCTTTGCTTTGCTCATACCAGGCATTGAACGAACAAGGAAGTAAGAGCTATTGCTAACACAATTCAGTAGGAAAGAGAGGACACACACGGAAATGTGTCCCTACCAAATACTTTGGTGAATCCAGCATCTCCTTTCTATGCAGTCTCCCTCCGCTAGAGTAAGAAAGTAGTCCCTTCTCCACTCCTTTTTATCCTATGGGATTTTATGTGTCCCCCTTTTCCCATCAAGTCTCCACAAAGGATTCAGCCATCTCTGGAGGCTCTTCTTTGGTTCTTTCAATCTCACGGAAGAGAGGCAGGACAAACATACCCTTCAGTCTATCTATCTATAGTTATCTCTCATTCTCACCAACCCATCTGCTTTTCTGGACATGCATTCCTTACCTATGTGCTGTCTTTTTTGCTGCTTCCTAAATTTCATCTCTGTCTATTTACGCTGACCATATGTCTTTCCATTTCCTTTTGAGTGTGTTGTAATTTTAATTTTTATTGTCCTTTTAAGCTGTGCATGAGATTGCTGAGAGCAGCATGGAGTAGTGGGCAGAAGGCTGGCCTTGGAGTCAGGAAGCCCTGACTTCTTTTTTTTTTTAATTTTTATTAATTTATTTTGATTTATCAACAATCACTTTCATATGCTTTTGAGTTTAAAATTTTTTTCACCCTTCCTCCCCACCACCTTCCCCAAGACAGCGCACAATCTAATATAAGCTATACATTTACATTCCTATTAAACATATTCACACATTAGTGAAGTTGTAAGTAAAAATTAAAACCAATAGGAGGAACCATCAGGAAGAGGAAACAAAACTTAACAGAAGAGGAAAAAATGATAGTGATTCAACTTCCATAGTTCTTTCTTTGGATGTGGATAGCATTTTCCATCATGAGGCCTCTGGAGATGTCTTAGATCTTTGTAATATTGAGAAAGGTTAAGTTTATCAATATTAGTCATCGCACAACGTAAGCCCTGACTTCTAGATCTGTTGCTGACACTTGCTAGTTGTGTAAGGGTGGATGCCTGAACTGCTGGACAACTCTGTAAGACTTGAGTTACAAGCGAGTATCTGATATGCATTGGTAGAGTGAGGTTCTACATTAGAAATCCTCCATACTAGTGGTCTATACCAGGACTTCTTAAACTTTTTCTACTTGTGACCCCTTTTCTACAGAGAAATTTTTATGCAACCTCAGGTATATAGGTATAGAAAATAGGTATACAAATCAACATTTACTGATAATCATAAAGAAATTTATTTTAAAACAATTCTTTGGTATACATGTAATTTTACCATTTATTAAAAACAAGAGCAAATTTGCATACTAATGAGATGGATGTGCTTGTTTATTTTTACATAAAGAATTAAATCTTGGCAGAATATTTAATACTACAGGATGCAGAGCATCTTCAGTGTTTTTCAGAGGTGATCGATATTTTGATTTTATAATTGTCAATGCTGAGAACCCAGCTTCGCATAAATATGTAGTACAAAATGGCAGCAGTATGTCCAGGGCCATTTCAGAAATTGCTGGAAATTTTGTCCTAACCCCAAGTCAAAATTCATTTAATGATTTTGTATGTACAGTAAAAACACTGCAATTCATAACATACAATAGTCCTTGAATCTGAGCCGAGGTATTTCTGGCAGCATTCTTTGGCGTTGTGTGGTATCATGGCGTGCGCAGTGCAAAGTGCACATGTTGTGTGTTCAGAACCAAGACTTCAGTGAAGTTGCATGATGTAACATGGGCAAGTGCTGGCAGAAACACCTCAGATTCATTACACATTTGATTCTGAATTAATTTTTGGCTGTCAAGCATTCAGAAACCTTTTACTGTTGCCAAATTTTTCACTACCCCCACATTCAGTTACATCATCCGTATAGGGTTGCCACCCATAGTTTAAGAAGCACTGGTCTGTACAGTGTTCCAAACCTTTTGTCCACCCCATACAAGTGTGCTTACATACATGTAATATTGCAAAGATAAAATACAATTTACTAACTATAGCACATAATGGAGGCATCCCATGTTAAGTCACGAACAAAGTGCTAGCATTTATACAGCGCCTACTATGTGCCAGGCACTGTGCTGAGCACTTTGCCAATATTATCTCATTTGATCCTCACAACAACCCAGGGAAGTTGGTCCTATTATTATTCCCATTTCACAGTTGAGTAAACTGAGGTGAACAGAGGACTTGTCCAGGGTCACACAGTTAGTAAGTGCCTGAGGCTGGATTTGAACTCAGGTTTTCCTGAGTCCAGGCCCAGTGCTCTATCCATGGCACCATTTAGCTGAGATGAGGTAAATGATCTTTCATTTCTACAGTCCTATCTGTTTTAATCAGTCAACAAGTATATATATTCATTTTTTTGCTATACCATATGCTTCTCATGATGGCCGGCTTCAGACCAGGGGCTTGCCCGAGGCAAGGAATCTAAGAATGGAGGTTCCCCCTTGGTGAAGTACCCCTCCCTCCTCCCCCTGACCCATTTAGGCTAACACAGATCCCTGCTAAAGCCATTATGCAGACAAATGGACTCTGACTTATTGATCGGCCTTCCCTGGCCCCAGGGCCATTCCTCCTACCCCCTAGCTATCATTCTGCTACCATGCTGCTACTGAGGACTGCTCTTCTTACTCTGCTCCTGGTCCCTGGCACCCCTGGTCAGAGACAGAAGAAGCCTGCCCTACCTCTGGTTCCCATTGACAAAATCCAACCTCAGGCCAACTTCAACCCTCTTCAGGTAGGGACAATAAGGAAAGAGAGAAGAAAGAGCTGGCCCTTAGAATGTCTCTTTCATCCTTCATGGGGGAAAATCGGGGTACAGAGAGGAGGAGAGGTGGGGTTGCCTTAGAAAACTCAAGGACCCCTCTGCCCAAAGCAGGATCTTCCCAGTGACTCCCAGAAGCAGAGATCAAAATGAAGCTATGGAGACCTTCTTAGAACAAGAGCTCCCCAAAGACACAGAAAAAAATTGAGGAGTACCTTCAGTCTTGCCTGTCTATCTGTCAGCTGCCCTAAGACTTCTGGAATCCTAGTCTCCTTCTGTCCTACAGACACTGGCATACCCCAGTGACTGAAACAGGTTGGGAGGGAAGGGTTAACACTGCCTTCTTGCGGCCTGAGGCTGTTTCTCACCTTGACCCATGGTCAAGGCTCTCTAGTCCCAGTCCACTTGTCCCCTCAGTTTTCAGGAACATGGCTCCTGGTGGCTGTAGCCTCGAAGTGCAGCAATCTTCTGGAGTCTAGCCACAGGTCAGAGGCCACGTTGATGCAAGTTGCCGTATCTGGCCCAGCACTGGCTGTCAACACATTCAGGAAACTGTGAGTAACATATGGAGAGATAGCCTGACATAGAGGGTGTGAGTTTGATAGCGTTTGTGACTTAGGATATGTGATAGAATGTGTGACTTGCCCCCTGGGTAACTAGAAAGAAATCCCTTCCTCTCTAAGGGCCCCAATTTCCTTTTATATAAAATGAGAGTATTGTTGTAGATGATTTCTGAGTTTGCTTCAGCAACCTTAATCCTACAAGTGTCTTCCCCTATGATAATAAAACCTTGATAAAGATTTTAAGTTTTGCCAAGCATTTTACCAATGTTATCACAACCACCCTGAGAAGTAGGTGTTATTATTCCCATTTTACAGATGAGGAAACTGAGGCAGTCTGCAAGAGTGTAAGTCATACAACTAGTAAATGTCTGTGGACAAATTTGAACTCATTTCTTCCTGACTCTAAGTCCATTGATCCCTTTCCACCACCTAGATGCCTACATAAACACACATACACGCATAATACATACATACATACATACATACATATATGCATATATACACACACAGAGACATACATACTCACAGAATGTGTCCCAAAAAGCTTAAAACTGGACTAAGACTTTTGCAGCACATCATGTCTTATATCTCTTAACATTCTTATGTTAAAGGGTGTCAAGCCTGTCTCAAGCTAAGGGGCTGAAGTGGAGCCAGGAAAGGCTTATTGTTTCTCTTTAGGAAGCTCTATTATCATCCAGAGTCAAAACGCAGAATGAGACATGCATATATTTTTGGACATAGACAATATGGGAATCTGTTTTGCTTGACTATGCATATTGGTTACAAGATTTTTGTTGCTGTCATTTTCAGTTGGAAGGTGGGAAAGAAAATAAATACTTCTTAATTTAAAAAAAAAGATTTATTATCATCACTATCTCATTTCCATCTTTTCCAATGGAGTTCAGGTAGACAAATGAATTTTCTGCTGTCATTCATTTATATATAATGTTCTATAGATGACTGCATATGGGGATGAAATTACTTTTTTGTAGTTGAATACAAGCATTAGGATAGAAGCTTATCCTCTATTGGCTAGCCACAAGCATCCTCAGTATAACTCCAATGTCTTTTGTGTTCAATAGTTTCAGTCCTGGCTGACTCTTACCTCATTTGGGGTTTTCTTGGCAAAGTTACTGGAGTAGTTTGCCATTTCCTTCTCCAGCTCATTTTACAGATGAGGGATTGAGGCAAACAGGATTAAGTGACTTGCCCATGAAGGCATAGCTACTGTCTAAGGTGGGTTTTGAATTCAGGTTCTCCTGACTCCAGAGGGCGCTCTATCCACTGTGCCACCTATAACTCCAACACCAGACAAGAAAACAGGGATCCATGTACCTTGTCCTGTCCCCACAAGGTTTTGACCCCCTCTGCTAGTTCTCAATATTTTGAAAACTTTTCTTTCTTGTAGCTAAGAAATCATGAATTTTGGATGTGCTGGTAAAACAGCCAGCTCTCCAGCTGTTAAAGATGCAGGACACATTTTTACACTTAGTCTGAATTGCCAACTTTTCTACCATAATTTTCTTAAGTCTAGACTCTACAGAAACAACGAGATGGTAATTCAAGCCCTGATTTGTAGTGTTTGTGTTTACCGAATTCCAACCTGTAGATGCTCGTGCTAAAAATTTAAAAATCGACCCTGCTCCCACATGCCCCTGGTAGCATCTATTAAAAACGTAGTTCTTGAGTTTTTATGAATCAATGTTCTTTCCAGGCACTTGTGGGCAAGAGTTCAGTCTACGATAACAATCCAGCTCTAGTCAGATTCATTGGTTGAGTCCTCCAGAATATTTTTAATTCTGTATTTGTAGTCTGGAGATTTGTCATGTGCCAATCCATGAAAGAGAGAGAGCTTTTGATGGATAATTCTAGCCATCAACTCATGTCTTGCTCAGTGTCCAATAGGTAATAAATGCATTGTTATTATTATTATTACTCCAATACTTCAGAGATCCAAGTTTTACCAATGTGGGTGCTCTTTTTGCTAGCGGAAATCACAAGATCCATATGCCTTAGGAGATAAGTCTTCAAGAGATTCTGTGGCCAAAAAATCAAATCTCCCAGAAGCCAACCTGAAAGAGCCTCCACAAACTTTTTGAAACCAGAAGTTACATTCCACTGGTAAAGCCTCCAAGAACCCAGGATCACCTTTATACTATGATCATGATAATAGCTAGAACTTTAAGATTTGAAAAGGACTTTACATATTAACATAAACTTTTCATTTGGTCCTAATAAGGACCATTTGAAGTAGGTACTATTATTATCCCCATTTTACAGATGAGGAAACTAAGGCTCAGAGAGATTAAGTTATCTGCCCAAGGTTACAGAGAATTCTCAGTCTTCCTCTGTATCCCATTCCAGTCTCGCTTGATATCCTTTGCTTCAGTGCTCCTTAATATCTACCCTAAGTTATTTCTTGACTAACCCTCAGCCCAGGGTGATAGGTTGCCTTCCTTGTCTCTGGAATCCTAATGTATCTGCTCTTTAGGGATGGGATCTGTTGGCAAATCAAACAAAAGTATGAGCCCACCAAGCTCCAGGGCAGATATCATCTCCAAGGTAAGAGTGGGCATTGGGGAAGGGGGCAAAACTCAACGCTGTGGGGAGCAACAGTGATGAGAGGCCCAGAATTAAGAAGTCCTAGGTCCTGACTCAACTCCAATGAGTCCTAGCAGGGAGGAAGTAATGGGGTGGTGGTGGTAAAGAGATGGCGGTAGGTGCTTAGAATTCTAGGAGAAGCACCCTAGACATTGAGTAGGTCAGGGTGGTGAAGAATTGGTAGCATGGGACAGGAAGCACCCCAGAGCAGCCCTGGGACAGGCACTCAGTTTCCTTCTTTAAGGCACCAGATCCAAGGTGAGATGACAGTATCTGTTCCTAGGCCGACGAAAACGCAGCCGTGGTGTGGAAGTGGTAGTGGGGGACACAAATTACCACCAGTATGCCATCTTGTACTATCAGAGGGACCAGCAATTCTCCATAAAGCTCTATGGTAAGGAGGGCGTTGGAGACGGGGGTGGGACGGAGAGCTGCACTGAGGATGGTGGAGAAAGAGAAAAAGAGCCAAGAGCTGAGACTCATGCACCTCCCATCCCTGACCCTAGTCTCTAACATTTGCATTGACATACAGACAGAAAAAGATTCAACTCTGATTTGCCTGACCAAGTAGCTTCCAGAGACCCATTCCCAGGACTACTTCATTTCTCTCCTTGCAGCTCGGTCCCTCCCTCTTAGTGACGACGTCTTGAGCAAGTATGAGCAACATGTCACTGATGCCACACTAAGTGAAGACTTCACCTTTTATTTCCCTACCTATGGTGAGTTTTCCCACCCAGGTTACCTTCCTATTGCTTGACTCTTGGAACCTGTCTCCTACACCCCAGGTTTTCCCAGGCCAGAGACTCACAGAACCTCAGAGCTGGAAGGGACCTCAAAGGAGCCTTCCACTACCTGTGTCCTTATCCCCTTCTGAGACTCTGTCTAACACTGAACAAATCACAACCTCTCTCTTTTTAAAAAAGTTTATTTTTGTTACATTTTGAGTTCTGAGTATCTCCCTCCCTTCCTCCCAATCCCCCATTAGAGAAGGCCAACATTTGCTATAAAAATATGTGTAGAACCATACAATACATACTTCCATATATATTATCAGTTCTTTCTCTGGAGGCAGATGGAGTTTTCCTTCATAAGACATGTGTAGTTGATCTGAATGGTCATATTACTCAAAATATCTTAGTCATTCACCACTACTCTTCAAAAACTATTGCTATTACTGTATACAATGTTCTGTTGGGTCTGCTCATTTCACTCTGCATTATTTCATGTAAGACTGTCTGTGTTTTCCTAAAACCAACCTGTTTGTCATTTCTTATAGCATTGTAATATTCCGTCACAATCATATATCACAACTTGGTTAGCCATTCCCTAATTGATGGGCATCCCTTTGCTTTCCAGTTCTTTGCCAACACAAAGAGAACTGCTATAAATATTTTAGAACATATTAGTTCTTTCCCTTTTTCACCTTGAGAAACAGATGTAATAGTGGTTATTGCTGGGCTAAGTATATATCCAGTTTAATAACTCTTTGGACATAATTCCAAAGTGGTCTTCAGAATGATTGGATCAATTCACAATCCCACCAACAGTATATTAGCATCTCAATTTTTCCACATCCTTTTCAATATTTGGCATTTTCCCTTTCTATCATTTTAGCCAATCTGATAGGTGTGAGAAGGTACCTTAAAGTTGTTTTAATTTGTATTTCTCTAATCAATAATGATTTAGAGTACTTTTTCATGTGACTGTAATTGTTTTGATTTCTTCTTCCAAAAACTGTCTGTTCATATCCTTTGACCATTTATCAGTTGGGGAATAACTCACAAATTTCACTCAGTTCTCTATATATTTGAGATATAAGGCCTTTATCTGAGAAACTAGCTATAAAATTTTCCAGAAATTTTCTGCTTTCCTTCTCATCTTGGCCATGTGGTTTTATTTGTACAAAACCTTTTTAATTTAATGTAATCAAAATTATCCATTTTATATTCCATAATGCTCTCTGTCTCTTGTTTATTCATAACTTCTCTTATCCATAAATCTGATAGGTAATATGTTCCATGCTCTTCTAGTTTGCTTATGATTTCTCCCTTTGTATCTAGGTCATGTAGAATCACAACCTCTTTAAGCTCCAGTTTCCTCAGCTGTAAAATGAATTCAGGATTATCTCTTAAGATCCCTTCCAGCCCTAAACTCTATGATCCTCTGACTGAGTGGACAACTGGTGATTCTAACTTGACCTCCCCCTTCCACTCTCTACTTCCCTCTATTTGGACAGAGATTGAGACTATAAAGATTTTTAATGGGTACTCCTAGTCCCATGGTACCCTCTGTGCCTACTCTGGTGCCCTGACCTTTAACCTCTATGCCCACAGGGTTCTGCGACTCCTCCCATGACTTCCAGATCCTGGATGGTGAGTGCAACCTTGGGTTGGGGGTGGGAATAGGAAACCGAGAGGGGCTTGTCTTCTGGGCTTTCTACAGGGGAACATACAGAAAAGGGGTCTTGCATCATCTCCAGCCCGGGAAAATGGGCACTTCATGGTTAGCTTCTCCCTCCACCCAAAGCACACAGTCCCAATTAATACTTATTGTATGTCCTTAGGGACTTTCAGCCTTTCATTTTCTAGGAGCCCAACAATGTCAATGTGTTTTAGTAGAAAAAGCTCAAGGCTTGGAATTGAGAGACCTGGGTCTGAGCTCAGATGCTGGCTGTGCGACCTTGGGTACATATCACTAAACCTCCCTGAGCCTCAGTTTCCTCAGTGGGCTTCAGTGAATTCTCTCTGTCTGTAGATTGCTACTTATTTTTGTTAATTTTGGAAAGTTTTCTTGAACAATTTCCTGAAATATGGTGTCCATATTCTTTTGTTTTCCTAAATTTGTGGTTGCAGCTGTGTCTTGACCTAGCTTCCAGGGCTGTCACTTGAGGCTATATTTCTCTATTCTTTCAGTAATTGAATCATTTTCTGACCTTATTTTTCTACTTTAGACCATGTTGCTCCATGGTCCTGCCTTTTGCTACAATAAGTCTTTTGTTCACTGCTTCATTTGATTTTTTGAGGTTTTCCTGTTGTAATTTCTTCATTGGGTTTTCAACAATTATTATTACTTCTTCTTGATCTTAAAAAAGAATTAATCCTAGTCTCAGTTCCCACTGATTTTTTTTCATTTTCTCTGAGCTGCGGTGACTTTCATAACAATGCAAATTCATGCCCAAATTAAATATCCAAACTGAGGCAGTCTTTGAGGATAGCTTGTAGTTTCTTTTTTCATCCGTGTTGCTTCTAGTACTTTTGCTATTTCACCTCCTCATTATTTTTTCCCCATTGTGTCAATGTTCTCCATGTCTCTCCTCTATTTTGGCTGATTTTTATTTTCTTGCGTGATTTTTTAAAAACTATTCATCTCTTTCTATTTTTCTGTCTTTTTTTTTTGAGAGGTATATGAGTAGGGAGCCTCTAATTTGAACCTTTGATTCTTCCATCTTGACCAGAAAGCCTCCAGTTTCCTCATTTGTAAGATGGGGCAATACTTTCACTCCCTAATTCACAAAGTTGAGATGAAGAATGTGCTTGGTACATACTATAGGATTATATGAATGTGAGCTATTAGTGTTATGAGTTCACTGGAGAACCAGGGTTGGGGGGGAAGGGAAGGGCAAAGGCTACAATGGCTTACAGTGCCCCGTCTGTCTTCTCTGTTGCAGAAGTGAAAAGCTGAGTTGGGATGGAGAGGCCGGGGCCTGGCACAGCGTACTCTGCAGTGAGAGTGCGCAGGGCTTGTCAGCTGCTTGCAGGGCCTCATCATGACTGCTATCCATTCAGAGATCAGGGCCTGGTTCCCAAGAGTCCAGGACTGGTGGTTTCTCTGGACCTTTGACCCCACTATTTCCCCAATCCTCTAACCCAATGACCCTAATTTTAATGACTTCTGATTTTGCTTACCCCTGACCCTAGCAGGGACCTTGATTTCCAGGTGACTCCAATAGATTCCAGCCTCTCTGGCCTGCCCAATGTCTGAAGGCATTTACCAAGTCCACAAAAGCACCTAAGGACTGGTGAGACTGGAGTGTAAGAAGGTGACTTGTTTTTTCATTAAAATTGTTCCTGAACAATCTGATGATTTCTTTTCTATGGTCTCATTTCTCGCTTACAGAATCAGCCTTAGAATTCATGTCCAACATTTTGTAGACTCTATAACCCTCTTAGGCTATTGTCTTTCTGACTCATCATTTCTGGTCACTGCCAAAGGATGAGCCAAGGCCACACAACACACACACACACACACACACACACACACACACACACACACACACACACAATTTTGGCATATATCTCAGCCTTTTGTTGAAAAGAAAAGAAAAAAAAACCCTTTGCTTAGTGGGAGCCGATTTGTCTGCCCACGGGACTCTTTTGGTCTAAGGATGCTTTGGGAAGAAGGATCAAGGTCTCACAGTGGCAACAGTATTTATTCAGCCCAAGAAGAAACAGTTTGTTCCTGAGATAATGCATGCCTTCCCATAATGGCCCTGGCCTTGAGACCTTGAGAAAAGCGTAAGATGTCAGAGGATCCAGAGCAGGGACTGGCATGAGGTTGAGAAGGCTGAGTTACCTAAGGGAAACAGGTGTTGGAGGAGGAGATAGCTGTGTACTGGGGAGGGAAGAGGAGGGCCACAGACCACTTTCTGTCCGGGACGAGCTATTGAATGAAGAAGCAGGGTGGCACGGTGGACAGAGAGTCCTGGGCCAGGAGTGAGGAGACATGGGTTCTGTCCTGGCTCCTCCTCCGGCTGACTGTGTGACCTCGTGCAAATCTCTTCTTTCAGGCCTCAATTTTCTCATCTATAAAATGAAGGGATTGGGCTAGAGTTCCCTGAGGTCCTGACGCTATGAATCTCTGTGGACTGGCTCCTGGTTAGAGTTTTCTTTCCAGCTATGAAAACCAGTTTGTCAGCTTCTTTCCTTTGACGCCCTCATAATTTAGAGCTTCTGGGCTCATACCAAATTCTTTTTACTCTCTCAGACTTGGACAAGTCACTTAACCTTCTCTAGGCCTCTGCTTCCTCATCTGTAAAATGAAGGAACTGGTCTAGATTAAGAGTTCTTAACCTTTTTTGTGTCGTGGCAATCTGGTAAAGCTTATGGACCCCCTCTCAGAATACTGTTTTTAAATACATAAAACAAAATACATAGGATTACCAAGGAAACTAATTATATTAAAATACAGTTTTCTCTACTCTTGAAACCACAGGAGATGGCAGAATGGGAGAAAGTAGTCCAGCCCCTAGCTCCTCCCACCACTACAACAATGCCCAAGACTTGACTAGGAAATTGAAGGACAATGGATGATCTTTCCAGCCCAAGGTTGTAAATTCAACCTGCAGGCAAGTGGCCAGGGCAGGATCTCTGGAACAGCAGTGGACTGGGATCCCAGACTCACTGCCCAGAGTTCTAAGCTAGACCAGCGGCTGGAGGTACCTAGAGCTAATCACTCAGCCACAGGCTCAAGCTCAAAAGTGAAGGGTCTCCCAGAGGGTCAGGAGCTCAGATTTCATGCCCGGAGCTCCTAGGTAGTCCTCCAGCACACAGATTCACAGAACTGACCTTAGGCTTCGCCCCAGGCCAGACCAGCTGCCACTGGAGCTTCAAATATAGACTCAGCACCTGATGGCCCCAGCCTAGGATCATGCAGAGCAGATCACAGACTCAGCTACCACCTAGGGAAGAAGTGCAGGGGTGTTTCTCAGTGGCACCAGGACCACAAACCCAGCCCCAAAAGAAATCCAAGATAGTCCAGCAACGCTAGGTTGCCCAAAGCAGATCACTAGAAAAATGACTAAATCAAAAAGAATATGGAGCTCTTATGATACTAGGAGTGCCCAAGCAAACCCAGAAGAGGAGAATAACTCCAAAATGCTGCCTATAAGTAAAGCCTCAAAGAAAAACATAGTTTGCCTGCAAGATCAGTTAGAATCCCTGGAAGAAATAAGGTAAGAATTTTAAAATAAGTATAAATGGTATTATAAATAAAATGAAAGCAATAGAGGGAAAGAATTGGAAAAGAAACAAAAGCTATAGAGGTGAATCTTGGAAAGAGAATGAATATCTTGGCATAAAAGTTATAAGACTTTACCAAGTAACAGGCTCCCTAAAAATTAGAATGGACCAACAAAAAGTTAATAATTCTATGAGACAACAAGAAACACGAAAAATGAAGTTAAAAGACTGAGAAATAGAAGAAAATGAAAACTATCAAATATCAAAAACAACTGAACTAGAAAACAGATCAAGGAGAGATTATTTAAGAATCATCGGCCTACCTGAAAGTCAAAACAAAACAAAACAAAAAAAAGGCCTGAATATCATATTTCAAGAAATCATAAATGAAAACTGCCCATATCTCTTAGAACTAAAGAGTAAAGTGAAAATAGAAAGAATCCACCAACTAGGGGGCCGCTAGGTGGCGCAGTGGATAGAGTACCGGCCCTGAAGTCAGGAGAACCTGGGTTCAAATGCGGCCTCAGACCAAACACTTGACACTTACTAGCTGTGTGACCCTGGGCAAGTCACTTAACCCCAATTGCCGTAAAAAAAAAAAAAGGAATCCACCAACTTGAAGGAAATCCCAAAATGAAAATTCCTGGGAATGTAATAGTCAAAATTCAGAGCTTCCAGATCATAGAGAAAATATCTCAATCAGTCAGAAAAAAAGAGTTTAAGTACTGAGGAACCATAGTCAGAATTATGGAAGATTTGGCAGTTTACCACTGTAAAGGAGAGAGCATGGAATATAATATTCTAAAAAGCAAAAGAGAGATAAAAATAGAAGACTTTCTGAACATTGTTGATGAGGTGACCTGAGCTTGGTAGAAATTTTGAAGTACAAATATAAGAGTAAAAAGAAACATAAAAAGGTAAATACTAGTGGGCAATCAGAGAAGACTTTACAAGGATTAAGTGTTTACTTTCTAATAGAGGGGAGGGATGATACAAGTGTCCCTTCACAACTTTAATGTGAACTGGGGTCATAGAGGAGTTCAAATGAGATGGAGGACCTGGTAGTGTTTTTTATATGTTTTGGTCATCTTAAAAGGAAAAAGGAAAGGTGGGGCAGGGAAGGCTAGGAAAATAAAGGGAAGAAAAGTGGAGGAACAAGATGGTTATCCCACATAATTAGAAAGCACAAGGAAGGGATGAGGGGAACTGACATCCTCTCACTTTGAATAGTTACAAAGTGAGAAGAACCAGGAGAACAATTTGTACCATAACAACAACATTATATATATGTGTGTGTGTGCATGTGTGTATGTGTGTGTGTATGTATACATATGTGTGTGTGTGTGTATAAAACAACAATTTTGAAAGACTTAAAAAACACTGATAAAAACATTGATCAGCCATGACTTTTGAGAACTGATGACTTAGAAAGCTACCCTGCCCCCTAACACAGAAGCGTTGGACTAGAAATGCCGGGTGAGGCATGAATTTTTGGATATGGTCAAGATGGAAATGTGTTTTGTTTGTGTGTTCGTTGAAGGGTGTTTCCTTCCCCACTACTCCTCATGGTGAGGAGGGTGGTGTGAGAGAGAGACAGACAGATAAGGAAACAGAGACAGAGAGAGAGAAACACAAAAAGAGACAGAAAGAGACAGAAGATGCTTGTTAATTGACAAAAATAAAATTTAATTAAAAATAAATTCAAGGTCAAGCAAAGGAGAAACGTAACAAAACAGTATAAATATTAAAAAGTCCATAGATGTCAGTTTAAGAATCTCTGGTCTATGCGATAATTCTATTCTATAGTTCAATAACTTTGCTGCATCTGCCAAGTGGGCCCTATTTGAGGTCTGATGAGTGGTGGTAGTGAGGAAGAATTCCATCTACTTTACCCTTTCTCCAACCTTTGTGAAATTCCAGCAGAAACTGCTCTGTCATCATGTTTATCTACAGAGTGGCTACATCTGGAGTCCATCTGCTGCCCCCTCCCCACACAGCCTGGTAGGAATCTGGCTTCAATCTGTCCTGCTGACCATACTCTTGCTAAGGCTAACAGTAGGGATCATGCAATGAGGCTAGAGCTGCTTTGAACTCTCACTGTCATACCCATCTCCAGGCCTACACTCTTTCCTCCTGGGCCCTTCCTGAGCAAGACTGAGGGCACTGCTCATAAGAGGTTTCCAGAGCTGAAGGGGCAGCAATGACTAGGGACCCCACCCCCACCTCCTCATCTGGGGTCCACATGCCACACCCCCTGTGGGGCTGTGAGCATAGGGACAAGACGCATGATTTAGAACTGAAGGAGACCTTACAGATCATTTAGACCAAGACCCTCATGTGGACCAGCTGGAAATGAGTGGCTATGAGTTCTCTTATCTTGCCTAGGAGGTGTCCTGTCAGCTGGAATGCCAAGTCCTCTCTGTACCTCTTTGGCCCTATCCCTTTAGGCTGGAATTTCTATTCAGAGGACCCCACCTCTCCCTGTGCCAGGAGTCTAAAGGCTTTTGAATAGAGCAGGAGACCTGTACTTTTCTCTTCAAAAAACATTCATAGTGATCCTGTCCCTGTGGCCTGGGGACCAGAACACAGGACATTCCACACTAGGGACAGCAAATTCTTGATAAGCAGATGAAAGAAGGTGGTTTCTGTACCCTGCCAGCCTCCCCATTGCTATACACCTACACTCTTCCCTTTGGCTATGAAAAAGAGCCCATCCTACTTTTGGCAGAGACAGGTAAGCCTCAGGTCCTCCAGCACCTGATAATGGATGGATTCTGCCCAACTGCTTGAGTAGAAGGGAATCAGCTGCCCTCTCCCCTGAAGAAGACAGCAATAGAACAGAGGTAGAGTCCCTTAGAGTCCAGGGCTGGACCTTGGGTTCCCCAGCCTTCTATAGATAGCATTTAGCACAGGGTTATGTATGTGGTAGGTGCTCCTTTTATACTTCCTCAAATGAATGAATGGGTAAATGGAGTACCCAGACCTATCCTGTTTTTCAGGGACACAAAAATAGGAGGAGCTAGGGAAGAAATCAGCATGGGGCATTCTTCTCAGTCTCTTTCTTCTGCCTCCTCTTTCCACCAACAGAAACTTCTTGCTCACCCTCTCTCCTTCTCCATCTTTTGAAATCCCAACCAAGAGGACAAAGGGGGCAAAACATTGGCAGTACAAGGTGAAAAACCTTGCTAAATGCGGCAGTGAATGGATGAACTGACTAGTGGTTAGGCACTAAGCTGGGCCTATAAAAGGCTGACTCTTTCATTCACCTCCTTCTCTACCTGATCAAGTCCAGCCCTCCCAGGATCTCTCCAGTGATCCAGCCAACCAGAAGAAAGATGTCTCTTAGTCCATTGTGGACAGGGATGATCCTGCTTGGGACCTTAAAGAATCATTTACAGGATTCTGCACCAACCCTGTCAAAAATTCCTCTGCAGTCAGATTTCCAAGCAAAGAAGGTAAGTGGAGTCCACTAGAACGACAGTCATGATAGGAAGGGGGAGGGGTGAATTGTATGTCAAATTCCTGTTAAAGAGCTTGAGGAGCAGGGAAAGGATAGGGGAGAGAAAGATATATGAAAAGAGTAAGGTGATATGGTATAAGGAAAGGAAGCTAAACTATGAGTCAGAAGACCAAAGTTCTGGTCCCAGCTCTGTCTTTATCTGATGTCTCTGACATCCCAGCCCTGAGGAAGCTACTGATCGGATGGGAGAGAACTTGGTGTTCAATCTCCTGGAGGCTTTGCATGACTATTGATTGTTCAGGGCAGGCATAGGACCTAGAAGGCCATAAGCTAAAAGAAACTCCTAACTGACCTTGTATCTACTTTGTCTATGTTTCTTCCACACTTACATGTGCACGTCTCAGAACTTAAATTCCTGGTGGGCAGGAACTATTTCACCTTTGTCTTTGTAGCCCGAGCGTGCAGCACAGTGCCTCGCATGTGGTAGTGCTTATTAAATGTTTGTTGATTGATTGACCTCAGAGACCATCTTTTCCAGCTCCTCATTTTTAAAGAGGAGGAAAGCGAAGATCAGAAAAGCCAAGGGACTTACCCAACATCGTGCAAGTAGTGAGTTACAATGCAAAGACTCAAACCTAGGTCTCCTGATGTGAAATCTGATGCTCTTTCTTCTATTCTACGGTATGCCTTTCTCATCCCCCAGGATGGCAGCAATCCATAGAAATCCTGCACACAATGGTCAGGCTCAGCTCAGGAGACCAATTCTTAGGAAGCCTTCTCTGATCCCACTCAGTTAAATGTCTTCTCTCATTCCTCTTTTCTCAGGGCACTTTGTCTAGACCTCTCCTCTGCCCCTTTCATATTCTATGTTGAATTATTTTTCCTAATAGTAGATTATATACTCCTTGAGACCTATGCAGGGACTATACTATTTTTCATTTTATTTCCTTCATTGTGTTTTTTTTACATATTCTTAGCTTTTGGTGCAGGGCCTTGCACATAGTAGGTATTTCATCAATGTTTGTTGAATTGCATTGAACAGTCCTAAGTGCCAAAGAGCCCTCTGTCTGGCTTGCTGTAAAGAAGACCTCCACCTCCACCCAAGGAATTCCACTTTCCAGTTTAGCCCCATTTACCCACTTACCACTAGGCCATTTCTAGGCTCTCTGTTCTCTGGGGTTGCACTGCCTCTAGGGTCGTAGAAAAGGGTTGCTAAGGCAGCATAAGAGGCATATAGGGTAAGCATTCTGCTCATGTGGACCTCCAGTCACCAGCCTTCCCTTCAGTTCCAAGGGAAATGGTACGTCATCGGCCTGGCAGGGAGAAACATCAAGACTGAAGGCCTGGGCCACACTAAGATGTATGCTACCATATACCAGCTACAAGCAGACCACAGCTACAGAGTCATCTCCAATCTGATCAAGTGAGAGATGCACTTGTGGGGAGACAAGAGGCTAGGAGGGAGGAGAAGAGTCCTTTCCCCCTTCTTTTCGAGCACCCAAGGCCCTTGGGCTCCAGGACTCCATCTTGCCCACACTGGGGCCCAGCATATACCTCACCTAGTGATTTGATAACAGATCTAAGCGTCTGCTCTGGGGTCTGGAGAACCAGAGTGTGTGAGACCCCACCACATATACACATACCTCATCCCATTCCTTTTTCCAGGGGTGAGTCCTGTGATATTGGATTCAGGACTTTTGTCCCAAAGGGTATACAAGGTCAATTTGCCTTGGACAACTTGAAAGGTAAGTGTGGGGACCTCTCACTCAGACAAGTTGCTTAGGTGGAGGGATCCTGCCAGAAGACTGAGAAAGGGCCCAACCGCATCTTCTGCCTCGGGTTGGGGTTGAGGATTCTAGTGTCCTCCTCCTCTGCTGAAGCACTGCCAGAAGAGGTGAACTTGGGGCTTCAGATGGGGACCAGCGCTCCTGAGGGCAGAATATCTAACTGCGTTCCCACCCCTCCCCCACCATACCAGCCTATGGAGTTACAAAGTACGTGTTCAGAGTGGTGATGACCAACTATGATGACTTTGCCATACTATACTTTCACAGCGTCAAAAAGAACAAGGTGAACTTCACGGCGAGTCTATATGGTACGTCTTTAGTTGCTTCTCCAATTCCTCTGCGGGTGGCCATTCCTTCCTGTACCCCAACAGAACTCCTGACTGGGAGGCAGGAATGAGAGAGGAGGAGAGAATCCCTGAGTCCCTGGTACTGAGCTCCCTCCCTCTCCCACCAGCCAGCCGCCTCCCAAGGTCAGGGGCAACCCGGTGGAAAGGTCATTGTGGAAACATCAGTGCTTGTGGGATCAGAAGACAAAGTCCTCATGTTACCCTTTACCAGTGGTGTGACCGCGGGCAAATCACATAAATTCTCAGTTTTCCCATCTGTGAAATGGGATTAATAATGCTCACACCACCTCATTGGGTTATAGTGAGGAAAGTGATTTATAAGCTTTAAAATATACACACTTAGATATGTATATAGATTCACACAAATACACGTTATATTATGTATATATATACTATATTTACATGTGTATATTTTATATACATATGTATATATACATGCATATATACGTATATCTAGCTCCTATATATGTAGATATATACATACGTATATAAACAGCTAGATAGTAGAATGGATGGAGCATAGGACTTAGTCTTAGGAAGACTTGAGTTCAAATCCTACCTTAGGCAGGTGCTAACTATGTGATACTGGGCAAGTTACATAATCTCTCACAGCCTCAGTTTCCTCATTTGTAAAATGGGGATGATAATAGAATGTACCTCACAGAGTTGTAAGACTCAAATGAGATAACATGTAACACGCTTTGTAACCCTTAAAGTACTACACAAATGCTAGCTATTATTATCATATATGTATATTTATGTGTGTATATATCTATATATATACCTATATGTACATCTAGTTACGTGTGTATATATGTGTGTATATATATATATATATATATATATACCTATATGTACATCTAGTTACGTGTGTATATATGTGTGTATATATATATATATATATATATATATATATATATATATATATGTACACAGAGAGGGAGAAAGAGAACTATTACAATTCCTTAGAAGAGATAATAATAACGTACCTCCCCCACATTTGTTACTGAGCCCCCTCCTTTGACTGACGCTTTTACTTGACAGTGCCTGAAATACAGCAGGCGCTTAATAAATACTTGTTGCTTGACCCCTCCCCTTTCTGCCACAAAGTCCTTATCCTCCTCACTGAGGTCACATCAGCTACATTTAAGGAGGGTGCTAGCCCTGAGTTCTGGTCACTGACACATGACTCACATCTTAGAATCTCAAACTCTGGCTCTTTTCCCCATTGCACCTTGCACTGTTACTGTGTTCTTCTCTCCCTGGTTTGGGAGCCAAGCCCGTGTGAGCAGATCTCTTAGGACAGGGCTTAGCCAGAACTCCAGACACAGTGGAAGGTTTGAGGTGAGTGCTAGGAAGAGGAATAGGTCCGGGAGTTGGACTCCCCGGAGAAAACCTCGGGGACTGATGCTTTGTTGCCCCTTTGGCTACAGGGAGAACAAAAGAGCTCACATCTCAGCCAAAGGAAAAGTTCATTGAATTTGCCCAATCGTTAGGCCTCACTGGTGAATTCCTTCTCTTCCTTCCCAAAGAGGGTAAGGCCTAGGATGGTGTGTATGTGTGTGGGGATGGGGGGAAATATGTCTTTGGAGGCCAGGGAGCTGTCCCTACCCTCCACTGACAACTTCTATTTCTCTCTTCCTTCCCAAACTTCACGTGCCCCAGAGAAGTGTATCAATGATGAGACTTGAGTATGATGTGAGTATGAGCCTTCTGCCCCAGGACCTAAAGGAACACTGAGAGGAAGGCTGTTTCCTAGAGGCCTTAGGCTAATCTGGTGACAGAGATGATGGAAGCCCCATGTACCCACCTCTGTCTTCCCAGAGAGGAGAATCCTAGTATCTGTCTCCTTGTCCTCTTCTCTTTGCTTTCCTCTCTCTCCCTTTTCCTCTCTTCTCTATTCTGCAATTGTATTTCTTCCTATATCTCACCTTCTCCCTTTGAAAGTCTTTCTTTTTCTTCTTTTCTGTTTCTCTCTCTGTCTCTGATATGTACATGTGAGTCATTAACAGTATTATTCCTTGTCTATTCTCTGTGTCTGTATCTGCCAGTTCTCCCTTGCTGTCTCCTATCACTCTCCTTACCTTTATCCTCATTCTTTCTCTTTTTCCTTCTCCCCATTCCCTCTATTCCTGTATTTTTATCTTTGTGACTCTCTATTCTCTTCTCCTTCTTCCTGTCTCTGTCTTTCTTTCTGCCTCTGTTCCTAGTTCTCTCTCTCTCCCCCATTCTGTCTGTCTCTTATTTGTCTACCTATCTCTTTCCTTGTCTCATCTCTTTCTGTTCCTGTGTCACCTGTGAACCATGCCAAACCAGCACCCAGACCCACCCCGAGCCCTGTCCCTACCTCCTAGATCTCACTCTCCCATTCCTGGCTCCTTCTCTAGATATCTCAAGTTCCACAGATTACAGCTCATCTTGGCTTCCTCTACTAGGGCCACCTCCATCTTTGCCCATCGGCTGCTAGAGAATTGGAGACACCTGGTCCCTGCTCTTATCTGTTTCTCAGTATGGCCATCCTGGTCTCATCCAACCTCTTACCACAGGGGCTGGTTAACCTTGGGATCCCCTTTCAGGGGAATAAATGCAGAATATTAAGAACTTGAGTCTGAATTTCTTTTTTGAGGGGTGGGGAAGAGAAAATGGGACCCTATTTTAGCTAAAAGGACAGTTGATTGTTCATCTTGTACTAATGGCACCTCTGTGCAATGGGTTCCCCTGGGGTCCAGGTTCTCATACTCAAATTTTGCAGGTTTAGAGATTCAATTTCTTCAGTTCCCTCAGGAATTATAATGCTCCAAGGAAATGAGTGCCCCCAGTAAAATTCACAAGAGACTGATTTGTAAACCAGATACTCCTTTATTAATTTATAATAAGAGATACATCTGAAAGGGGAAGCAGGGCTAGGTGTGTGGCTGCCCCAGAGACCCTTTCTCTTGGCAAGTAAATTTGCTCATGAGAAAAGATTACAGACCATCAAATATAGGGCTGGAAAACAGCTCAGATCTTCTAATCATTAAAGAGATAGTTGTTGAACTTCTAGATAGAAAAGTGGTGATTATAAAGAGTCACAATGGCTTCATCAAGAACAGATTAACCTTTTTGTATTTTTTTGGGAAAGGATTGCTAAACCACTCAAGGAAGGGAATACTGTGGATATAATTTACCTAGATTTTAGCAAAGCTTTTGGTAAAATGTCTCACACTATTCTCATGGAGAAAATAGAGAGATGTAGATAGAAAATTGTATAATTAAAATGGATTTAGAATTCACCCACTGGACAGATTCAAAGAGCCATTGTTTATGGTTTAATGCTAATGCTATAGGAGGTCTCCCATGCAGTGCCTCAGGGAATTTGTGCTTGGCCCTGTGCTGTTAGACATTGTTATCAATGACTTACATAAAGGAATAGATGGCACGCTTATCAAATTAGCAGATGACTGCAAAATTGGAAGGGACAGGTGACACACTGGATGACAAAGTTGGAATCCAAAAAGATAAGCAAGAGTACTGGGCTGAATCCAATAAGATGGAATTCAATGGGGGCTAAGGGCAAAGTCTTAGGCTTGGGTCCAAAAATTCAACTTCACAGGTGTAAGATGGGAGAAGTGTAGTTCGAAAGCAATTATTCAGATAAAAATGTGGGAGTTTTAGTGGACTGCAAGCTCTGTGTGAGTCACTAGTTTGATGTAGCAGCCCTAAAAATGCTAACTCTATCTTGAGCTGCATTAAAGGCATATCTTTTGGGAATAGGGAGATGATATAGTAGTTCAGTTCTAGGCAATATATTGTAAGAAGGGCATTGATAAGCTGAAAAGTGTCTAGAGGAAGGGCAGCCAGGATGGTCAAGGGCCCTGATTCCACGACATAAGAGGATCTGTTGAAGAAACTGGAGCTGTTTAACCTGGAAAAGAAAAGACTCAGGGGTCCATGATAGTTGCGTTGAAGTATTTAAAGATGTTCCATCTGTTCTGCTTGGTTACACGCCCCCCCCCATCCAACCCCCCACCCTGCCCCAAGCAGGGCCAGAATCTGAACCTAGGTCTTCTGAATCCACACTCAGCTCTTTTCCCATTGTATACCAGGCCAATGGTGAACACCAACCAAATAAATCAAAGGACATTGTATGTTACAATATTCTATTTCCATAAAATTGTGGTAGACCAATGGATTAATTTCCTGCTTAGTAATCTAGGTAGCGTTTCTGTCTAAAATCCAGGGACCAGCCATTAGATTCAAACTGGTTTCTCATTTGAAGGACAGTGTTGGACAAACACACGCTGACTCATTTTGCCACTGAATGCCTTTCTCAATATTTGCCATCAAGCATTAACACTCCTGTCATTACAGTATGTCCTCATCAGACATGTTACAATTTGCAAGATTGCAGTTGTTATTACATTGGTTATATTTTAAAATGTTGCCTTCCTTCTTAGCCTCCCTGAGGCTGTGGAAACCATAGCTCCCTTCAGAATAGGGTCTCTTCAAGGACACAAAGAAGAAATTTGGATAGAAAGTTTCTAAACTGATGGTTTTAGTCTTAGATTCTGTCAGCTGCCCCAAGGTTTGCGGGAAGGGAAGACGGATAATAATAGCTAACATTTATATAGTGTTTACTATCTGCCAGGCATTGCATTACACACTTTACA